TATCACTAAAATTTATGATGAATAATAATATTTGATTATCATAAATGAATTAGACACAAACATTCTTGCCGATAACTGGAATTTTGAAGTGCACTACTTCTGATTTGGTTATTAATTTTAATTAAACTATAAAATAGATTTTATATTAAAAATCAGACGAAGTATTCAAGTTCTACATTTTATTCCTCGTTGTCATTGAAAATTTTCCAGTTCTAATTATATGAAACTGACTTTCGAACTTAAAAGACTCGTGTATGAGCTTTTTCTCTGATTAGTGTTGATTCTTGCCTCAAATTTGAAATGTGAGGATTAATTTTTTTCCCTTTTATCCCGTTTTTTCCCAGAATTATTAGCTTATTGGCTCCATTTAAAGAAGATGGATATATATGAGTAAGGTTGGCTTCAAAGGTGAAACTTAGCTTGATGAATGAACTCCATTAGACGTGTGTGATATGAATATTAATACTTTAATTACCTAATTTTTGCCAAGCAGGCCGTCATCATAAAAAAGATTATATTAATTTCATTTCTTTGAAAGTTGAAATCAAATGTTTAATTTTCTCAGAAAAATTCCTCGTTCTAGGATGAAAGGATTTAATAGTAAAAAGTGCAGATTAATTCCATTAAAAAGAATATGAAAAAATGGTCATACAAATATAATAATTTCATTCTGCAACATTATTAATAAACCACGGAGAACATACCTTTTCTCAGACATCATGCATTATTTCGTTCGAAAGAATTATGTAATATTTTTGGTACAAGCATGATTTTTTATTGTTACAATAGTTTTTTAACATATTTCATTAAACGTTTTGTATTTTTTTTTTTAATTTTGGCATTATGTATTATTAGTGTTTTTACATTATAGAAATTATATAAATTAATTATCTTGTTCTGTCCCCCACTACACATGACAAAAATTTAACGTAGATCCTCTTCGATTGAAATTTTGTTATTATATTTCCCCCCTTTTTATGTCATAGAAAAAAGTTTTAAAATTCTGAAACTCCTATTGTACGGAACACCTGAAAAGAAAACAAAGAAGCATGGAGCACCATGAAGGAGAATTATTTATTTATTTTTTTGCCCCAGACTCTATGGAGACTTTTTTTTTAAATTAAAAAAAAAACACAGACACCGAGATAGATAATGCGGGCACCGAATATTCTTTTGATTAGTGAGCTTTGTTAGTTGCCCCTCTGAATCGGCTGTTGCTCTTCCACTCTGATTTATGAATTTCCCAAAATCAAATCCCATTCTTCTTTACAATATTTTATAATAATACTAATTAAAATTACTCCTCTGGTCCTTAATATAGGACCTAATTATTGAGTTGGTTTTAGTCCTAAATATAAGACCCATTTCTCATATTTATCAATTTTATCTAAATTACCCCTATGGATACTCCCTCAACCATAATCAAGTAGAAGAGAAAGAGGAGGTATTAAGAAAGATGATTATGGTGTTTTAGGAAAAATGTGTCACTTTTCTTATAATTAACTAACTTACCTAACTTCCTTAATTTAATCAAATTAGTTAAATGGGTCTTATATTAAGGACCGGAGGAGTACTATTTATTTATTTATTTTTTGCTAAAACATAATATCCTTCTATTAGAGAAAATCATATTAGAGATCCTATTGAGTACTAAATATGACCATCTCTCCTGATTAGAATTCGAATCCTGGTTTGCCGGTAGATCCAACCCCCATTAGTTCAAATAATATTTATAATATTCCAATCCAAACCACATTCTCTGGGCCACGGTTCTTTTCCTGGGCAATAAAGCCCATAACCATTCGGGCCCATAAAACAAAACCCAAAAAATGCATGGTTTGCTTTTAAGGGTTCTAAAGCCCATATTCAATAGACCCATACAATGATCCACAGTTGAGAGCCGACGAGATTATTCAAGAGGTAGTATTTGGATTCGGCCGAAAGCATTTTTCTTGAGTCCTTTTAAGCGGTTTCTAAACTCCCCCTAGTACGAAAAGAACATCATTGCAGTTATGAACTAATACCCGTTTTCTAGGTTAATGTCATTAAAAAACCAATGTCAAACGTTTAAAAAAAGTAACATTCACTGTTCTATTCTAACAGTCAGGACGATATTACTCTTTTCTCAACACTTTCAAAGCCAGTCCCAAAATCAGGGGGGGGGGGGAGAATTCCTCAAATTACAGCTAACTTGTGAATACTTTTCCAAGCAAAAACAACCTTAATTCATTGTTAATCCTCACATATTCTAGAACAACAGGTCAGCATTAACAACACATGACAAGCCAACACAAGCGCTTGTCGCTGTTACAACTAGATTGGGCACTCTCCTCTCCTCACGCATCATCTATACACACACACATATATACACATACGCGCATGAACCATCCATTCACACGGTAAGATTACAGCGACTTAAAAAATACAGAGAGAGAGAGAGAGAGAGAGAGTTAAAAGTGAGGTTGGAACGAAGCAAGTGGAGGTGGCTGTCGAACTATGAATATAAGCTCAAGATCAGGAGGCTGAAAGTACTGCTTCTTTGGCGGCGAGGCTTTCCTTTCCAGCGGCTTCTTCTTGGGAGCCGGCGGGCACATCTCCGCCTCCGGTATCCGGCAGCTTCTGTGGGTGGGAGTCCGGCAGCCTTCCATAATCGTCACGGATCCGAGACCACGGCGTACTTTTGAAGGGGCTTTGTTTATATAGACAAGTGTGGGGAAGCTTGCTGCAGAAGATGGCGGGTCGTTTGTTGACACTGTTGCTTTGACTTATCCGGTCGTGCGGTGCGGGAAACTTGGCTTCCACTACTACCCTCCACGTGGCACCAAATAGGTTATGTCTCTTTTTGTGGGTGGTCCACTTCCCTCCCGTTCTGTGCTCCCCAGAAACTTCCCCCACTCTCATGGTTAGGTCAAGAATTTCACAGAAACTGTGGAAATGTTTTTCAAATGTAAGAATTTTTTTTATCTTATTTATAAGTTATTTTTAATATATTTTATACAGACAAAAAAATTTTAAATTTTATTCATTCTCATTTAAAATTTAATAATTTTTCAATTTTATTCCCGTTTAATATGTTTTATATAAACAAAGTTAATATAATAATAAATGAAGAGTAAAATTGTACATTCATATAAAAAGTTTCTCCTAGTGTCTTATAAATATGACTCAAAAAAAATTTTCCTATAGAATCATAGGAGTGTTTCATCTGATGAACAGTTTTAACGTAAAACAAACCAAATTAAGAAGACAGACCAAAGGGAGGAATAATAGCTGTGAAGTTCTTTTATTGAGGTCGCATGAAATGTTCCATGTCAGCTTTAGTGACCCGGGCGTGAGGGTGAGATAATTTTGAGAGATTGTTTGAGATTACTTTTAATTAAATGCTTCAGGTTAATATTAAAATTAAAAAAAATTAATCTTTTAGTTCTTTAACTTTTAACTCATTTGTAACTCAGTCTCTTAACTACTCCCTCCGTTCCTTATTATAAGAGACAAATAACCGAAATACGTTGATAAAAAAAACAGTTAAAATTAGTTAAAAACAATTAATGTGTAAAAAGTATAATTTTTTTCCAAAAATGCCCTCATTAATAAGGAGAGAGAGCATGAGAGAGAACAATTAAATTATTAAAAGAAAGAGAAGTGAGAGGGAGAGAGAGTGTAAGTTGGAGATAATAAATATGGGTAAAATAGTAAATCAACACAAAAAAGTAGAGACAACTTGTAAGTGTCTCTTATATATAGGAACATGCCATAAGCATCAAATGTCTCTTATAATAAGGAACGGAGAGAGTATAATTCAATATAACTCAGTTCCTGGACTTTTTGACTGGTATATTATCCAATCCCTTATCTTTTCAATTTTCATATTACTATCTTTTCCCCCTACAACTCTGTCCTATGTGACAACACACTCTTCTAACTCATCTCCACGTGGTTTTTTTTAAACAAAATTTAAACTTAAAAAATGGGCCGAAGAGGACCGAAGACGGGGGAAAAGTTGCGGAGAGACTTACATTATCAAACCCAAGCTTGCCGACGTCTATCTTTGTGGTCTCTGAAAAACAAAACAATCACATTTGATAATATCTTTATATGCATTAGATGAGAACTGGTGCTTTAAATTGATTCCTTATTATCAATTTTCACTGATATCAATGCTTTGGTAATTCAATCGATGAATTAATGGGAAGGCTTGAGTTCTCCTATAACTTAGAATAATTGAAAGAAGATGCCAAGGGGAAGAAGAATTGATGCATCATCGAATGCCAGAATAGAAGCAATGATTGCATATTCAGCTAAACAAATTGAGAAGCCACTATTGAAAATATGAGGTACACCTTGAATTGGATGAGTCCGCCTTCTTCTTCCACAGCTTGGGTGAGTCCGCCTTCATCGCTATGTGAAGTTGTGAATCTTTAGATTCATCTATAGGGACGTGGCTGTCTTGTTTATCAGAGACCAAAAGACAGATGCTGGCAAGCTTGGGTCTGATGATGTAAATCTCTTTGCAACTTTCTTTTCCCCCTTGTCGGTCCTCTCCAACCCTTTTTTTCCGTTTAAATTTTGTTAAAAAAACCAGATGGAACTGAGTTGGAAGAGTATGTTGCCACGTAGGGTAAAGTTGTGAAGGGAGAAGATCCTAATATGAAAATTGCAAAAGATAAAGGACAAGTTAAAAATTCAGAGACTGAGTCGTACAGAATCATAATTAAAGGATTGAGTTATAAATAAATTAAAAGTTGAAGAACTGATTAATTTTTTCTTAAAATTAAAACGGAGACACAAATTATCATACCCTTGTTAGTTCCTGGTTGTTTCTCATCCGTGGCCCCACTTATCGCTTTTCGCTTGTCGATTTTAAGTGGCACGTGACCTCACCGCCCCGTTTCAGTTTTGCCCCGACTTGAACCGGTTCGAGTGCGACGACCCGGGTTCTCGGTCCGGCTTCCCAAGGTCGTCACTGCTGCTTGGCTTCTTTATCATCTGCTCAGGAAAGTCCAGTCGCAGGGCGCACGGTCACGGAGCTTCTCTTCAACTTTTTATGCTGAAATTCTTGCTGTTGCCTCTTCCAGGAAACAATGCCTTTCATCTCGCAAATTCAACGTCAGTCTGATTACAATCTCTTCAGTTCCACAACTCCGATCGTCATTGACAATGGCGCATCATATTTTCGTATCGGGTACCTTTAGTAACCCTAATTTGAGTTCCAGGATCAATTTTTGCGGGCTGGCCAGATGGGGTTGCCTGCTTTCGAATTATTTCAAATTCGTTTACTATGGCCTGTTAATTTACGTCGACCGTTTATTCTTGTGAACTATCAGATGGGCAGGAGAGACTGATCCCCGTGTTGTTTTCCGCAACATTGTGCAAAGGCCACGCCATAAAGTCACTGGTATGTTCCTCACTCCACGATGTTCCATGCGTCTTCTTGATCTTCCTACTGCATATATGCTTGAATGTGTCTGGAAGAGGAGTTGGAAGAGTTTTTGGATGAGCGATTGTGGTTTTGGGTCCTTTTTTCTTCACTAATGTTTATTTAGCTGTTCTTTTCTCTATGTTCTCATAAATTACTTGGAGGAACTGAGGAGAAGGGGGGAAAATATTTTGGTATGAGTTGACAAAACCAAAAAAAAAAAAAAAAGGTTTTTGTTAGTTTCAAGCAATGGAAACGGTGATATGCATGTGCCAATCACTTCCTTTCATTTGCATTATGAGCTAACAAAAAATTTACTTTTGCAACTTTTTTTCCTATGATATCCCCCCCCCCCCCCGGGGGGGATTTCTGCTTCAATATTGATAACCATATATTTTATATTGTCGTGATTTCTGTCCTAACCCTGACCCTCTTTGACCGCTTAATAACTAACAAAACGCAGAAGAAGCAGTAACATACTCAATAATTGTTCTTTCGCTTTCTGTAACACAGGTGAAACTGTTACTATTGTTGGTGATCATAATCCAGCATTAATGAAATACTTTGACTGTACTCGCTCTGGACCACGCTCGGCATTTGATAGCAATGTTGTTTACCAGTTTGAGATAATGGAATACGTAAGCTTCCTTTTAATTACATTATTTATGAATGCAGGAGGGATATTGGTTTAGGCCCGTTGGTTTGATGCATGTTATGTTAAGCATTCCCCTAAATCCAATCACCATTCATCCCACAGTCTTTCATTTTTAGTTCCGTCTAATCTATCTATCATGGATGCCATTTTACATGGAAATAAGGTCGTACTCATTAAAACGTGCTTATATGCTTCGTTCTTTTGGAAGGATTTGTTGAGGATGGTATCATTAACCTTTCTTTCACATATAGATTCTCGACTTTGGCTTTGACCGGATCGGTGCAAATGGATCAGAGGTATGAACATGGGATTAAAAAGTTCTTTTCCTCATTCTTTTTCGTTCAACTTGTTTTTATACTGGCTGTCTTTTCTTCTATGGTTTTATTAGATGCTTAATATCGTTTAAATATTCAATTTTAGATTTTTACTGATGCTATTTCTTATTTGACATGCTAGTAAAACTTTGGGTTTGCTTATTAGTATCCAAGATTTCTCTGGCTTAGTGAAGGCGTTGTTTCATTTTGGCACTTACAGGATGCGAATAATTTTGACTCACTATTATTTTTTTATATGTTTATTGCCAGAGCAGATTGATCATCCTGTCCTGATCACAGAATGTGTGTGTAATCCTGTTCAATCTCGTAGTAAAATGGCAGAACTTCTTTTTGAGACTTATGGTGTTCCATCAATAGGTATTAGTGCTTCTCTAACCCTTAAAGAAACTTCATCTTTGTTAAGTCACCTAAGTTTTATCAGAGGATTTGAATTATCTGTTGCTTTCCCAATCTGTGCCACCCAGTCTAGCTTTGAATGGAAAACCATTTTCTACATGAAGCTGCTAAATACCGTATTCATTGCCCTTTCATTACTTGTACTGGTTTAGACCCAGTGAGCGTGCCTGCTTGGCTCTATTCCATCTGAGGTGCTGCACCCCAGTTTTCCACTGACAAAGCAATCCATCTTTTTCTGTTATGGCAGCGTTTGGGGTTGATGGAGCTTTCAGCTACAAGTATAATCAACACCATGGAGTTTGCAATAAAGATGGCCTTGCTATGTGTCCTGGATTTACCACAACCCATGTGATTCCGGTATGCTTTTTGTGGTATATTATGAAGCATTTGGTATATCAATGCGAAGCCCTAGTTCTTTTTGTCAAAACAGTAGTTATTTACAACCCTGCATTCATCATACGCATTTTAATTATTTGTGCGTGCGTTATTTCATTTTGCTTTATATTGTTGGTAAGCTATATTAGTAAATCATCTTGGCCTGTGCGTGGGTTTCTTCTAGACTGATCCTGTGATGAAACCAATCCTTTTGTTCTGCTGCAAGTGTACATGTATTAAGCATCAGTTGCATGTAATTTTTTTATTATTAGCATGCGTAATTTGCCGTTTGATAGTACGGTAGACTTCCTAGTTTTATGCCAATGTAACGTCCAATACAGTTATCATATGTATTAATGGCAAATTGAACTTGAGCATATGTACTAAGGGCTATCTTGTCCGGTATGAAATCTGTTGATTCTTGATGACTTTTATTTTTGGGTTAAAATTTTCAGTTTGTAGACGGGGAACCTGTTTATAAAGGTTGCTGCCGTACAAATATTGGGGGCTTCCATGTAACTGATTATTTAAAGCAGCTTCTTTCACTTAAATATCCCTACCATCTGTGAGCACCAGATCACTTGGACTTCGTTCCTATTCTTCTCAGTACTATATATGTAGGACTTTTTTGATCTTATTAGATTTTCAATACAGGGCTAGATTTACATGGGAAAAGGTTGAAGACCTGAAGATGGAACATTGTTACATTGCACAGGATTATGCTTCTGAAGCTCGGCTGTTTCAGGTAAGAGTTGTGTTTCCTTTCCTTTCAAATGGCTCTACCGTTTTCAGAAGTTAACTTTATCGATGATAACATAGAGAGGAGGGAAGGAAGCTGAAGAGAAAACCAGATGTTGGCAGCTCCCTTGGGTTCCACCACCAACTGAGGAGCCTCCTTCTGAGGAAGAGATTGCAAGGAAGGCAGCAATTAGAGAGAAACAAGGTCAAAGGTTGCGAGAAATGGCTGAGGCAAAGAGATCATCCAGAATAAATGAACTGGAAAATGAATTGCATGGCTTGGAATTTCTCTTACAGCAGCTTGGGCAAGTAGAGGAGAGTGACATTCCATCTTTCCTATCAGACACTGGCTATGTCTCTAAGCAGGAGATTGAATCTGCACGTGTCAAAGTTACACAATCTTTACGGAAAGCAAAAGGTGAACCAAAGAGTGAGCAAGCTGAAACTGAAAAGGCTGACTCTGCTAATAGCGAGAAGTATTCTCTTATAAACATCCCTGATGAAACACTAACCCCAGAACAGGTCAGTTTTATATTAATCTCATTATCATTCAGCAATAAGTTGAGATAACAGTGTGCCTCCTCCCCTTTAAATTTACATTTGAAAATATTTTCCCAGCGTCATATCTGCTTACAGCCTTTGAATATGGGAAATCCTTTAAATCTTTCCTCTGCTTGTTTTTCTCTATATGACTGAGTTTGACAGTGTTCCTGGGATGTGCCTTTTTAATAGCTTATTGAAAAGAAGAAGCAGTTGTCACTCAAGTCCATGTCTGAAGGGCGGCAGCGATCAAAACAGAAACGTTATGAGGAGGAAATGCAACGAGAGAGGCGATTACAACTAGAGGAGGAGAAACGCCTGTACGGTTTTGTGTTTTTTATTATTTGCAAGTTATTTTGTTTGTGGCATAGTTACATGAGTAGAGGGGCTTTCCCTTGTGTTAACCTGGTGTGGTTTTTTTTTTTTGGGGGGGGGGTGAGGGGCCTGATTCTCCTCCATGTCATAGCTTATGTTGAGGACACTGACTATTTTTAAGGGGAAAAAATGTGACTGCAATCTTCACAAGGCTTGAACGATTAACGTACCTTTTGTGTTCTAGGCTCCTTTTTTTTTAAAATTCTTTTTCATTCTTTCTGTAGAGAGAACCCAGAGCTTTACCTGGAGCAATTGCATGCTAAATACAAAAATCTATCGGAAAAAGTTGACCAACGAAAAAGACTTAAGACAAATGGAAACCACACAAATGGAAATAATTTGTCTGGTGGTGTTGGTCGTGGTGAGAGGCTAAATGCTGCCCAAAGGGAAAGAATGCGCCTTTTGACAACTGCAGCCTTTGATCGTGGTAAAGGTGAGGATACATTTGGTGCCAGAGATGAAGATTGGCAACTTTACAAATTGATGAGTAAGGATAATGACGACGATGATGAGGGACCGGATGAGGATGAGACAGAATTGGCCCGCATCTCTTCTAGGCTCCAGGTTAGTTTTGCTCCTTAGAAACTACTACTCTTTTTTGGCAATCATGATTCCATGCTTATGTAAGATTACATAATATGACTCTTGATGCATAACCGGCTGAAAAAATTTGCTGAATTGTTTTGTCAGGATTTGGATCCTACATTTGTACCCAAGTTAGAAACTGGTAATGCGCAATCTGCTGAGGTGGTGCCACGTTTTCGACCTCTCAGCAAAGAGGATTTTCAGATTGTTCTTGGTGTCGAAAGATTCAGATGTCCTGAGATTTTGTTCAATCCAAACTGGATTGGGGTTGATCAGGTAGGGTTAGACGAGATGGCCGGGGTCTCCATAAGGAGATTGCCAGATAAAGATGAAAGTCTGGAAGAGAGACTAACTGATTCCATACTTGTGACTGGTGGAAGTTCTGTGTTTCCTGGTATGATTGAACGCCTTGAAGCTGGGATTAGGATGATTAGACCCTGCGGATCGCCCATAAAAATAGTTAGAGCATTGGATCCAGTTTTGGATGCCTGGAGGGGCGCTTCTGCTTATGCCTCAGCTTCACTTTTTCATACACAAACTTTCAGTAGGACGGATTATTATGAAAAGGGTGAAGATTGGCTTCGCAGTTATCATCTCAGATACACATTATAGTTGACTTCATTGCCAATTGTTGTATGCTGTCTTAACTGGAATACCTAACCTTAATTCATATAAATTATTTTTATGCATGATTTATATTTTGCTGTTCACTGTTCTTAGGCGATACCCTTACTAGATAAGTTAGTCTCACGGGTTATTTATTGGTTAAATAACTTTGTTCTCCTTCTCCAAAAATTTCGCAAAATTGCGTATTGGTATTTATTAATACAAGTGGATGATAAATTTCTTGATTGATTCCTTGGGGCGAAATGTCGCCCGATTTTATTTTTTTTTTGGCCCGGGGGGGGGGGAATCTTGCTTCTTGTTGTTCAAGCCTGAGGTTTACCTTATATTTTGAATAGTATCATATTTAGTTTTTCAAATTTGATTTCAATTTAAGTTTGATATCTGATATTAAACTTACGCCGGGGCAATATTTTGTAACTCTTTACTCTTTCACCAAATGTTAGAACGAATTGTAAAACTACATGAACCCCATGAATATGGTAATAGTATTTTCAAGTCCTTTTACTTTGCAAAATTAACTATGGAAAAAAAAAAAGGAGAGTTATCATTATAAGATGTAAACTCCGTCTGCGCACATATCTTGTTTTGTGTCGCGCTCTTTCCAACCCCATAATTGTGTGAGTGACTGTAAGTGATATATCTGTAATAAAAAACCCTTTCTATGTTTATACCTATTAGAATTAGAGATGCTATCAAACAAGCAAACAAGCCATAAGGTCTTGAAAGGGAATTTAAAAAATTTAAAACCTTCATCTTAGGCCAATACTTGGCCAACAAAACAGCTGCCAAAACGTGATTTTAATCTTCTATCACCTAACCACTTTTCTACCTACCCCCCCCCCAAAAAAAAAAAACACGCACAAACACAAAATAGGGTTTTAGGGTGTGTTTGGATAGAAACCAAACCATGGTTTCAGAAGTGCTTTTACGGATTACGAAGTAAATATGTGGAGGAGATTATCTCGTTTTGCGGAAAAGTGCTTCTGAAACCACGGTTTGGGAATACCCAAACAGGCCCTTAGTCTCTGATTCCCCTGTAACAAAAGATGAAAGCGCATAAAACTTAAATTTTTGTGCTCTTTTATGATTTTGCATTCATCAAAAGAATAAATCGCATTTATATATTATTTTCCTGATCAACGATCCAAACCAGCCATTTAGACACCAACAAGGACAGGAAAAGCCAAAATAATGACTTTCCCTTGCCGCGATTTTGAAGCCGGGTCGCCTGGGTGAAATCCAGGTATCCTAAACCGGACTAACGACAATGGAATTTGGTTTCCCATCTGCAAAAGTATTAAGTGTTAATGCCACGTTAAATTCTTATCAAACATTTCCCCCTCAAATTCAACCGTTACCTTCCCTCCCTCTCCTTCTCCACAGATATGTCATATGTGTGTGCGTATATATATTAAAACATAAAATAAATAATTTTAAAGACAAATGCATAATACATTTGATTTGATTATTTCGACGGGAATTTAGGATGAGGATGGTGATAGGAAGCATTCCGTGTGGCTCTTTCAGACGCAACTCGCCAACTCCCTGGTCCCTGCTTTGACGTTCTCTCTCTAGAATTTACATTTCCAAATCCTAAATTTGTCCCAAACATTTATTTAAAAGTACAGAACCATGATTTTTACGTTACAAAAATTTTCTGCTCGTGCGTTAAAATATAATCCTTCAACAACAAAAATATCCCCAATTTAAAATTTAAATTCTTTTTTTTTTCAATCATTTTCTTTTCTTACTTGTCTTCCCCGTACAAGAAACTAAAGCGAGTTGATTTGATATTTTGATTCATGAGAACTCAAAGGGCAATTCTTTTTTTTTTTTTTTGACGGAATCAAACGGAGACACCGTACGGTACTCTTATTATTATTAGTTATGTCGTGTAAGTTCAAGAAATCAAAAGATGAATCTTTTTCCTTCCATTGATAACTTTCGTACACCGTCTATGATGCGTTTACGTTACCAGAAGAAAGAATGATAGTTTTCAGTTTTCACACTCAAAAGGGAACATTAATTAGTTTAATTGTTATATGTATTCTAAGTAAAATAAAATCAAATGACAAATAATATCCGACATTAAATAAATTATAATTACAAAATCATTATAACCAGAAAAATTGAATGAATCGGTATTACGGTAGTTGCCAAAAATACAATAGTTTTTGGCAAAAAAACAAAGAAATAATAAAAGGTGTGTGTTGAATAACACGTGAGAGAGAGAGACAGACAGAGAGAGAGAGAGAGGATAAGGATCGCAAAGGAGAGAAAGAATATTCTAGGGGGCAATAGGCCACCGTCAAATAAGCTTTTGTCTTCATCCATTAAATAAAAACACACCCCCATCTGCATCTGCACCATCCAATCCTTCAAATATAATAATACTGACTTTCCCTTTTTCTATCATTAATGAGATAACATGCTCTCTAAAGCATTTCAAATCTAATCATGTGCCTTCACAACTTTGATTCTTTTCTTTTTCTTAATTATCTTTATTAATCTCCAATTATTTAGACAAGCTAGTCAGTCATTGTTTAGTACATATATTCTATTTCTTTTTAATTTTTAATTTTAATGCTTGCTACCAATTTCTGTACAACTATACTGATAAAATTGATTGTTGCATGGACATTTAAAATGCTTATAATTCAGTAACAGACAACAGGAAAAAAAAATACCAAGTAGATGGAATCAACTAACACAGGATCCAAGTTATTTTTTTTTTTTAAAAAAAAAAACCTCTTTTATGATCAATTATGAATAAAAGAAATCCATGTGTTGGGATTTCACTTTCAAAATACAATCAAAGAGATCAAGACTTCTTTTCCCAGGACATGTTACATCAAATGAATAAAGTCCCAACAGGCAAAAGGGAGGCAAATGTAACATTAAGGAAGAAGCAAGGAATAACCTTTCTTGAGTGTTAAACATGTCAGTCTATCAGAGAGACAGTTCTAGATAGATACACTTCCAAGTAAAAGAATCAACAATTTCAAGAAAGAAAGAATTGTAAGCGGGTGTGAAGAAACAATCTTATTTGAACAAGTCATTTACAAAAAGCCAACCTGCAAATTGCAGTTAAAGGGGTCGGCAAAATGAATAAATGGTGTGAGAATATTACATGAAATTGAATCAAAATGTACAAAAGGTTTCTTCTTCCTTACTTTTTTTCCCTGTCCTCCTCTATTCCTTCCTTACCTGTCACCATTAATAATTCCTTCTTATATCATTTTGTTTTTACATTGTTCCAACGGGTTGGATGACACCACCAGCTTCACCGACAACACTGAGACCTTGAGGAGCTGAGGATTCTTTGACCTTGTTCGGAGTTGCAGGGTGTTGTTGTTGATGATGATGCTTCCCATGTTGCTGCTTGCCTTGATGCTGTGACCAGAAAGCATGAGCAGCCAATACTCTGTCCAACAGCTCCTGAGGAACCGGCTCTCCTCTTCTTTGTTGGGGAGATATTCTTGCTGTGTGAACTAACGTTTTCCATTTGTCCTGCATTTTCCCAAGTCAATCAGATCAGAAACAACATAAACCATGCAAAGATCTCTACATTGATCATCTCAAAACAGAAAAGCAATCTGGATTTACCGCATGTAGATCATTTGGCTTCAAAAAAAATCAATGTATGTAGTGCACTCGGGAGTAGGGCCAGAGAAAGAGAGAGAGAGAGAGAGAGTGAATAGAATAGAAGAGTACGATTATAAGATATGGATCACATGCACAAACACTTTCTCTTGTTTTACTCTTTCTCCGACTATGGGACTGCAGACTCCTCATACATGAAAAGGGCTTAGGTATATGAAACAAGAAATAGAGAGAGAGAGAGAAGAGAGCTAGGAGTACAATCAGAGAAACACGTCTAACTAAACAGATGCATGAATGTGGAAGATTCAAAATAATAAATATGTTATAGACTATCCTCTGTACCAACAAAAACACAAGTAAAACATTGTAGGTATCGGCTATCAGGTTTCCCAATAGAAACTTAGCATGTGAATAGACTATTAAAATTAAAAAATAAAAAATAAAAAATGTATGATGCTGAAATGTAAAAATCATCCAAATGTCATATCTTTCCTAGGATGAAACCAGAAGCATAATTCAGCAAGAATTGTCATGTGAACCAAGTACAAGAAAAGCAATGAATCAACTTTCAAAAAAACACCAAATTTTACTTAGTATCCTCGTAACTAGGAAGGAAGAAAATATATACCTTCAAGTCAACGTAAGTCCTATGGTCTGCGTTTTCAAAAGCAAGCAGCTTAACATCACGCCACCTACACAGAGTAAAGAACAAATCAATTCCCCTATCCACATGATGTATGGGAAGGTTTTTTTTTTTTTTTTTTTTCAAAACAAGAAAAAGGTCATAAACAAAACATCAAACCTTCCAGTTCCAAGTTCTTCAACAGCATGAACAAGTGCTTCAACCTCAGACACTGAGAAGGGTCTCCTGGTTCGACGCTGTACAAGCTCAGAGCGCTTAGTTTTCTGAGTCGCTGGAACTATAGCCAATGGTTCTGTGCTCCTATCAGGAACAACTACTAAAGATTTGGAATCTGACGCTACTTTGTCAGTCATCGTGTCAGTGGGAGAAGAAATTGATTCATGGTTACTTTCAATAGGGTTGCTCGGAGTAGTCAGCAAGGGAGAGTCATGTAACACATCAGTAATCCCTGACTCTAAGACAGGAGTTCTAGGGGACCTAGAAGAATCAATTGATCAAATAATGATATTGTCAGCCGTACTGAATAATCAGAGAGTGCAATTGAATAGAAATAACGGGATCATATGATCCAGTTTGCCTCACCTGTTTGAATGGGATGGTTCATGATAAGACGGTTCACCAACACAAACAGAGGGAGAGCCTTGTAAGGAACTCGGCTCCAACGTGAAACCAAGGGCATCAATATTTTCTTCACAAGATAAACCAGTCTGCTGAAGAGTTCTGTTGTCATCTCTAACTTTCTTCCCCTGAAGAACAACACCAACATGCACTCCACCTCCAAGTATAGCCATCACAGCCTCCATGACTGTCCTCTAGAGGGAAGTAATTGTAAAAGAAAGAAGGCAGAAGTTAGAACATGACAACACCACAAACACCAAGTAGTTAAAAAATACCACTTTAGGAGAGAGAAAACAAATCCAACTAATGCAACTAGTTATATAAAATAGTAAATCAGTCCGAGAATAGATTACAGAAGAATCAAAAAGCGGGAACAAAAAAAGGGAATACTATACATCCACATTAATGTGCAGATAAAACTTATTTCGGACGTTTATCTGTTTCAAAATAGCATCTATATTCATACCTTTAGAGAACCAACAGTAGCAGTTTCAGGAACCTCAATATAAAGCTCTGGTATCTTGAAAGACTTAATGCTAAACTTCACTGTTCACAAGATAAAAACAGCAAATAAACACTACAGAATGCAGAGAACAAAAGAGCAGTGTAATGACTGAAAATCAAGCAACCAAGTACCATGAGAATCCTTCGATTCATGCTTTGAAGATGAGCTAGGATTGTTGCCATCCATTCCCTTCTCAATGGAATTAGATACACTCTCACTGCTGAATCCTCCATCAAGTGTCAGGCCTGAAAACCGATTAGAGAATTTCCTCCTCTTGAAAAGAGAATCATAATGACCTCTTTCAAAGCTGTGACAAGCCTTCCTCTTCTGAAAAAGAGGTTTTGCTCCAGCATCTGCAAATTTTTTATTATTTTCAGTGAAAAAACACAGCATTTGGTGGCATCAAATAATGAAGCATTTGGCTACAAACAATTTGTAAGCAACCTCACCAGATCTGGAAAGCTCGCAATCCTTCAACTTCGGTGCAACCTTCCAGTACTTGGAAGTCACGAGCTTCCTGATTCTTCGGTGTGCAATCCGATGCGGAGGCTTAAAAGACTTTGATTTGGTGCTAATTTTGTGGCACCTTATAAAGTTATCGTCATCATCTCTAAAACCTACCTTACTATTATTGCCATAATTAGAAAAGGAACTATTTGGGAAAGTTCCTTTAGAGAATGGATACTTAATTTTACTAACTGAGTTACTTATTGAATGAGAGTTAACTCGAAATTCCAAAGGGTCCTTCATACTACATTTATCAGCAAGACTTGGTCCCTCAATGCCTGAACTCCTAGCTTCTTGTTCCCTTTTAAAGCCATTGTTTATCTTACTATTATTATAAGACTCCCTAAAATTCTGGGGTGATTCTGCTAACCTACTAGAATAATGTTCGGCTTGATCCTCCCACTTGCATATTTTAGGCTTAATGTTAGGTTCAGTTTTCTTGCAGCAGTCAGCAGGATTAGTAACGGAAGTGCATTCTGGTACAGCATCAGTCTCAGCTTGCCCAAGATACTTCTGGCTAGAATTTCGTGAGACTACCTCCGTCATAAAGGCACTCTCTGCACAACTTCCATGATGAACACCTTCTGCTACTAATGGTTTGGCTTCACCTTGACTTTCCTGCTCAACAGCGCCTTGGCCAGAGGCTGGCTGGTGATTTCCTTCTGATGCATTGCTAGAAGCTGAACTTTCACTCTCCTGCAACAACTTGCCAGCTAAAGATGCCAGTACTTCAATGGCACAAACTTGGCCATCCTCTTCTTTCTTGGAAAGAACCCTCCTCTGAAAATAATCAAACATTAGGGATTAGCATAATGTTCAAAACACAAATAAGGAGTAACAAGAAAGCATGGAAATATAAAGCTTAAAGAATAGTTGCAGCAAGCACTTACTCTTACAGATCTAGGAGCTCTAGGAATAAAGGGGACCTGAAAGCCATTGAATCCATATTCTAGCCTCTTCTTGCACACCATAGCGTAGACATATAAAGCTTAATGAATTACCAGAATAATCAAAACACTGGATGCTCCTCACTGCCAAAAGAACAAAAAGACTCATCCATCAAGTTCATTTCATATTGGTCATGCTAGAAAAGCAAAAATCACAAGATCCAGTAAATAACATAAGCTAGTTACTCATTTCAGTTTTCCTTCTCAGCCCATGACAGGACACAAGCATGCAGAAGATTAAAAGCATATTATTCACCAAAGAAAGTGAGAGAGAGAGAGAACGAAGAAGGGAAAAAAACATAAGAAAATAAAACCATAAAATTATGATATGTGGTCTTATGGAACTTTTTATTCAATTAAATTCCAGCCCCAAGCGAACGCATAAAAATAAGGAAAGATTTTAAAGAACTCCAACCCAACAACTTCACGTTTGATTCACCAACGCTGGTCCCGTTGTAATATATTACAATCTAATTACACACAAATCACAAATCGACACATTACAAACCAAAAATTGATCATTTCAAAGATCACGTGCCAAACAGACCAGAACTCATTTTCCTGAAATTCCGACCCATGAACCGCAAGAAACAAATCGAGAAGTCAATGGATAAAGTATCGCATTAAATTTCATGCACGAAACAGGGCAAAAAAAAAAAAAGGCAAGCTTTTTCAATGGTGGTGGAATCATTAAAGTCAACAAAAACACAAACAGAAACAGTTGTAAGCTGCATCTAGTTGATGTGCACTAAATGCGTAAAATTGATGCTAAACAACCCAATTCTGATCCTCAACGTTCTCGAGCTCTCTAAAATTTTGCATCCAGGACCAAAAATAAATCTAGAGATGCTCCGATCAATTAGAAAAGGAGAGATTCACGAGAGCATGGAAATTCTCAAACTGAAACAGAGAGAGAACCAGTTGCTCACGTCAATGAATAGTCTCGCATCCACGATCGGATCTCTACGGAACGTCAATCGCATAATTCACAGAGAACTGTTCCCAAGAACACAAACTCTGGGTATACGCTACAAGAATTATGCTCTTTCTTTGCAGAATCAAGACAAAATCTTCAGAAAAACCAGCAAAACTACGAGATCGCACCCAAAACTCGGAGAAGAAAAGGAAAACAAAGCCAAAATTCAAAATTTACGCGAAGCAATAGACCTTTGTACCAACTCACCTCTTCTAGAAACGCCATTCGAGCAATGATCCGAAGTTGAATTGTGATCAGGTGACGAAATTCCCAGGGAAAACCATCTCCAGAGGAAATCAATATCCGAGAAGTGCCTAGAAATACAAGAGATCTACGAGTCTCAGAAATCTAATCTCAGGACCCAGAATTGTGTTGTATTATTCGAAAATTCGGTGTCCTTTTTTTAATTTCTTTGGATCGGAGAAAATGAGAGAAACAGTTTGAGAGAACCAAAAACCCACCTAATTCAAAAACCACGCAACAGTGGCCTTAAACCCCTTATATCTCCATGGTTTTGACCACACAACCGGACGAACCAGTAAAAGGGCATAAATGTCCCGGCAGTTGCAGGTTTCCCCACCAAGTTCCTACTTCCCACAACATTATCCTATCACATTTTATTTTAAAGGTACTACTTACTCAAGAATCACCTATATTATTTCAATTGACATATATTTCCATGTTTAGACAAAAAAAAATGATGAAAATAGTTCAGTTTTAATTAAAAAAACAAATATTTTTTGAAAATATTTTTAGTCATGTAATTAAAGGATGGCTTCAATAACAATAATAATAATAATAAAAAAATTCATGCGGACAGGAGCGGGTTTCACTTCCGTTCTATGCAAACTTTCTTCTTGTTCTTTTTTTTAAAATTTTTTTTTTTTGAGTAAAATATAAATAGAGATAATTAAAATTGTCTGAACCTCAGATTTTGGGGGCAGAAGATGGCGCGTGCCACGTGGAGGAGAGGGCATTCATGGGACGAAATCCATGGTTAGATACATTTATTTTCGGATTGGGCTTTCGTGTGGTCTTCCCCTCATATATTGTTACTTTCCCTTTCCCCTTTCAATTTCCATCTTCACTTTTTTCTCTCCCTCATTCTTTGTTCTTTGTTTGAACTTTGAACATTCTTTCATCATTCATATCTCCCCGGTTTAACTCCACAATTACATAATCTTTCTCTCAAATACTCACAATAATATAAATCTCATATAAAAAATCAGACGTGAAGTTAGTGAATTTAAGAATTTTTTTAAATTTTAATTAAGTATGTTAGAAATGACTTATAAATATAATTAAAAATAATAATATACTAATTTATATATTTAAAAACTTCATTTCATAATTTTTATGGTAGTGTTTATAGGCCAAAATATCAATGGATGAAAACTTTGATCAAACTCACTATATTGAACCGAAAACTAGTGAATCAACTTAGGATTAAACCCTAATGAGTTACTGTAAATGGGATAACCGGGTGGAATTAATATAAACTTTTCTCTTTCTTTCTTGAAACAAGATGTTTTGAGTTTAAAAAAAAAAAATAGCAGCACGTTATCTTTATATGCGTAAACATTTTATTTTCTTGTGATTAATATTTATTAACTTTTTTCATAATTATATATGAATATTTTTGTCTAGATAGTTAAATTGTATTATTTTAATCATAATTTATTTAATCTCGATAAAAACTACTAATTTTAAACCCCTATTTGAATCGTTATTGTTTCTTTATGCCAAAAAAGGTAAAGGGAAAAACTTCGTAGTTTCTCATGGATATTGAATAGTCACAGGTCATTATCGCACAAATACTGTTGTCATACATAAAATTGTCAATTCCCTTGGAGCATCTTCCACACGCTTTTTCATGATAATGCAAATCAATTAAAAAATTAATAAAATAAAGCACCTGTATCAATCCAGATCATCTGGTTTTCTTTTTTTCCCTGCAAATAAATAGCCCGTAACACTAATAATTATTAATAAGTGGATTTATTTTTATGCTAGCTATACGGGAAAATAATTTTTTATTACCTTTTCTCCATAAATTGAAAAGAAAACATATTCTTGTGATTTAATTTTTATTATTTTTTTCATGGTCAAAAAGATTTTTGTATTATTCTCACAAAAGTTTGAGCCTTTTCCGGCTGGACACAGTGTCCTAAAAGGAAACCAGTTGAGGATTAGTCAAAAGGGCAAAAAATTGAGGTTTAATTAGTTTAAATCGGTTGCTACTGAAATTAGTTGAGGATTAGAGAATGAGAACTAATGAGCATACAGGTGAAATTTGGTTTATAAGATTATAAACTAAACGATAATTTTGGACATTTTTCTTTCTTTCGCCTTGATAAGTGGGTACATTATATTTTATATCTCATAGTCATAGACTCATAGTTACCTTATTTTTATCATGTGGGTTAACATTTTTTCCAATTTAAACCCTTTTTTGGTAGATTAAGAATTTATCTGAAATAATTTATAAATAAATTTTAAATCATAATTTACGAAATATGAAGTAAGTATATGAAAAAAATAGCTCGATTTTTGTAAAAGTGCTTATAAGCACTTGTTTATTGCAAATCCAAGCAAACCTTAATCAGATTGACTCACTGAACCTAAACTAATATTAAAGAAATGCATACATAATCCAAGCTTCAAAAAATGGAGCCTTCATTTACGTGTCTATTTAATTCCTTATTTTATGTAGAATTATTAATCATTTCTGAAAATTCAAATTATTATGCCCGTACACACGTATATACATTACACAAAGAGAAAATGACAAAAAAAGAAGGTGAAAATCTGTAAATACCAAACAAAGAATCTTAATAAAAATTTCTTATCATTTACAAATTCAGTATTGTCAACACCAAATAAAATGTTATTACTAAATCTTGTTTGAGATTTAGTAATTTTCAACTTTTTTTTTGTTACTATCTCTCACACAAATGATAGAATTGTTACGCAAACACATACACCTCTGGCTGTACCCAGCTACTTCCTATCATTCTAAATATAAGAAGTATCAGGAATGTTTATTTTAATCTTAAATATAAGAACTTGATATATTATCTTGACATTGACGGACTAATCCTTTCAATGGCTGGTTTGTTTTTCTTAATGAGTATAATCTTCTTAAGTTTTTTCTTTCAATTTGTTTTGGCATAACACAAATGAAATTTATTTATCTAAAATTTCATCAGTCATCACTACATCTGAGAAAATTCAAGACCTAATCATGTACATAAATTGTGAGTATTGAAAAAAAAAAAAACCTTGACCAAAGCTATATATGATTTTCCATAATTTTTAAATTGTTTGTGTTGGTTCGGATATAGTTAATCACTGTGTTCAGTTATACTTCGGATATTATATTCCAAAATCTAAAGTTTTTGTTTGTACGAAAAACGTGCTTTTTTTTTTAATCATCAAAGAAGTGATCCGATGCAATTTTAATTTAAGAAAAAAGAAGAAGTCAAGTGTCCTGCTTTATATCTTTTAAAGAACAAATACATTAAATTAAAGTCCTTTTTTAACCAAACCATTAAATTAAACTCTTTTTCGTGTTTTATAGACACACACACACAACCACGCAAATTAGAAATTTTTGTGTTATAATTTCTATATCAACAAAGTCAACTTCCGGCATAAAGTATGCTCCAATTATTAAGCAATGTAAAAACCTTTCATTAATTCTTTCAGTTATTTTAAAAGGCGTTAGTACTTCCTTTATCCTCATTATACATACACCATGCAGCATTTTTAAATCATATGATGCATATTAAATATTTGCATATAGTTCGTGATATCAACTAAGTTTAAACATTTAGTCTATTGTTTTTATTAAACCAGCAGCAAAGATTAAACAAATTTATCTCTGAATTATTAACCTTACAACATAAAATAATTTCCAAAAAAGTAATGATAATTTGACAGTAACTAACCAGAAGCACTTACATACTTAGGTTTATCTATGTTGATCAAATATTTTTTCCTAGAGTTAACAGTCAACTTTACCATCTATTAGTTTAGGGGTGACATTATAGTAGTTTTAGTACTTGAAATGTAATCTTACTCTGATAAATAATACTATTTTTAGTCCTTAATATAAAAGCTAGTTGACTAATTTGAGTGGATTAAGAAAATTAATTAAGTTAGTTATTTGTAATAAATAGATGTTGTCTTTCTTAAAATATTTTTACTAATCAAATATATTGGCTAACACTATTATTATTACATAGACTATTTTGAAAAAATAGATAAAGATGAAAAACAAAATGGATTCAAATTTTATATTTATAAACAAAATAAAAGTCAAACAAGCTCTTATATTAAGGATCGGAGGTAATATATGATAAGATATATGCTCATTGTGAAATAATTAAGAGTATAACCCTTTAAACCTTTTGATAAATATATTGATAATTGAGAGTTTTTTTTCCCCCGGCAAGCATCGGCGATTTAGTGCCCGTTTTGATTAGCGGTAAACAACTGTAATTTTAGATAATTGTGAATTTTATAAGTGACACTGGTTAATCGTGATTTCTGTTTGGATATTTTTTTTGTAAGTGATTTTAAGAATTGTGATTATGTTTGGTTTTCATTTATTAAAATTACTTATGAGTGTATAATTACTAAAAAAGACACGAAGGTAACAAAGTTGTTTACATTTTCATAATTATTATATTTAATAATAAATTTTATTAAATAAAATTTAATAAATGACATGAATATTTAAATATTATTTTTATTTTAAAATTATTATTATTTAAAATCACTTACAAAATTTGTGTGTAGTACAAATATTAAATAAATGACCCCATATAAGAAAAAGCAGTCAAAAGGAATCAAGAAACAATCACAAGTATTCAAGGCGGTTATTCGCAAGAGGCATCGTGAGAATTGAAGATTGTAAATTTGTGAGAATAAGATGAGTGAATTCCGACTTGTATAAAGAAAGTGAACAAATAAAGAAGGAAACATAACTTTTAATTGCTTGATTGATCCAAAAAAGCGAGATGACGGCCTTTTAAGAAAAAATTTGAAGTGGTTTAGTTGTTTAGGTTGAAAAATTGTAGGCAAAATATATGGAGATAATATTTGAAAAGAGATTTTTAAAAGAGTAAATGCAGAGATATCATTTTAGATAAAATAACATTAATAAATATAAAAATAAGCTGAAAAATTATTTTTCATCATTATTTTCTTAATTTAACGATGCTCCACGAATTAGAATATTACTTGAATATTTGATTGCATTGTTTCAATCATATGTCATTCGTTATCTGGTTTTTTAAAAATGTCTTTTAGATAAAATTAAAAGAAAAACATTTTCATATTGTATGTTTTTTTTAAAAAAAATTAAAATAATTACCATTAGAATGAGGGGTAGATTGGAGAAAATTTAGTAACTGAAGATTCATCAGGATTTTTCAAACACATAAGTTACTTCTTGTTGTTTATCCTAAAAGTGTGGTGGAAAGTTAAAATCACGATTCATCGGGATTTTATAAAAATTATCCAAATACCCTAAACATGCTTCATAAGCACTTATTTGAATTTAAACAGGTTTATTTGAGATCCTACTGCTTAACCAAACAGGCTCCTAGACAGTACTGGCTGATTTCAGAAAATCGCAAATTAATTTTGCTTTAGTTATATTCAAAATAATTTTAATTTTAATAAGTTCATAATTTAACACAAACACATAGAAAAAGAAATCAATTCATCACTTTAAAGAATTACATATTGAAAACTTTAATTTGGACTATGGATGATTCAGATCTCATCACCACACAAAAAAAATGGAAGACCAAATTTGGTCTATGCATAAATGTGAAACGCCAAGATGAGTTGGGAGAGAAATTTAATTAATTGAATATTTTTGAAGTAGTAGACGGTGGACCAAACTCTTCATTAAACACCATTTAGATAAGTCAATACGCATATATACAAACTTTCAAATATGAGAAAATAACACCAGTAGTTACCCAAAAAAAAAAAAAACAAGAAGATGAAGAATCCAAATAGAAAGAAACTATTTAGTTGACCAAGGCATGAAAAAAAGTTAAGAGGATCTGAATGGTTCTTCTTTTAACTTTCCCCTTTGATGATTGATCTCATTCTAGATCGCACATATTTTTTTACAATATAGATGAAAATATATTTTAATATCCTCTCTCTCTCTCTGTGTCTGTGTGTGTGAGAGAGAGATATATGAATTAAAAATTAAGGCTACGAGTCTTGGAGCTAAACTGGGTCAAATTGAGTTGCTGCAGCATATATGCTCTGTTTGGTTGAGATTGACTTGACTGTAGAAACGAACGACTATATATATATATATATATATATAAAGAGAAATAAACGATCAAACGATTTTACAGTAGTGGTTATTGAATAATTAAAAATATTAATTTAGGATTATGATTGATTATTCGTTTGGTTCACATATATATGATGCTAACTAATCATTGCAGTTTTCAGATCAAGAACGCAACAATATGATAGAATCGGAGATTAGTTTATTTTAATAATAAAGTATCGTTGGTGGCAACCAACAAAACCCGGCACAGTTGGTAGATAGCTGGGTCCCTTAAACATAATGTCCTAAATTTGAACCAGGCCGTGTGCATGGAAAAGGCTTTGTTGGGAGAGGCAAAACCCACTTCTGTGATCTCTACGTCTCGAGAGAATTAGTCTCTGGCTATCGGCTAGGAGATACCACCTGGTTTCTAAAAAAAAAAAAGTCGTTGTTGGCAGATTTGGGTCCAATATAATACAATATATTTGTTAAGTGCGATGAGTTGATGACTGATGAGTGATGAGTTACCTTTTTATCTGAAAAACCGCGGCCGAAGGTGGAAGGAAGGTATCTTTTGTTTGACAACCTTATTCTTTTCGTTTTTGGCTAGCTTTGAGGTTAATTTGGTAAGCTGTTATTTGACGATGAAGCTTGATATTTCTCAGTTAGGTAGGTTCATGTTTGATTTAAAAAAAAAAAACACAAGATATTTCCCTATTTAACAATATCAAATAATCAATTTGCCAGTAAAATGTTAAGTTATTTATCGATCTCTTGGTAAGTATTTCCTCATGCAGTAATTTTTTATTTTGACGAATCAAGATTTAAGAACGAGCTTAATTAAAAAGATGAACGTATGATGTGAAAATTTAGTGGTTACTTTAAGGGTGTGTTTGGTATGAGGGATTTGGGAGGCGGGGGAGGGAAGGGGAGGGATTTTAATCATTTCTCCTTATTTGGCAACACACAAATTTTAGGAGGGGAGAGAAAATTTTTAAAATTTCCCCTCCCCTCCCCTCTTCAACCTCCCCTCCAAAATTGGGAGGATTTGGAGGGAAAGGGTAATATTTTGTCATATTATGACCATTATGCCCATATTTTGTCATGTTGTGACCATTATGTCTATATTTTGTCATGTTGTGACCATTATGCCCACGTCTTAAATAAAATAAGAACAAAATTGTCCATATTAAAATATTTTCCCCTCCCCTCCCCTCTTTTTTTATAAATCCAAACAAGCTGATATTAATATCCTTCCACTCCCCTCCCCTCCCATTCCCTCCATTAAAATCCCTCTCTTTCCCTTCCTCTCATTGAGCCAAACATACCCTAAAATTGAATGATATCACTTGATATAGAAGAGAAGTAACATTTTGGTCTGGAGTGAGGGAGCATTTATTATTAAAGCATTTATTATTAAGAGTTGTGAGAATTTTGTCTTCGGTTTCATGTATTTTTATTATTATCAAACCCATCAACCCTCAATCAATAATGCGGGTCCTTTGATACTCCTTCTCTTCTTAACGTATAACCTAATTTGAAAACTAATATTGGTTTTGTATATAAGACTTATTTTATATATTTATTAATTTTTTTTCAAATTAATTCTGATGATATTTTCTCAACAATAATTAAGTATGAGAGAAAGTAAGGCAATTAAAAAATATAATTAAGGTGTTTTACGAAAAAAGATATATTATTAACTAATTTAACTAACATTTTTAATCTACTTAAATTAGTTAATTAGGTGTTACATTAAGGATCAAAGCAGTATAAGAGTTGGATAACTAATTTATGAATATTAATAAAATTAGTTGAGTTAATTATTTATAATAAATGATGTCTTCACTAAAAATATCCCTACCAGTTATATGCATTATTGAAATTTTATATTTATGATTGAACTAAATATTTAATTAGTTTTTATATTAAGTACAAAAAATAATGTGTGTGCGCGTGTAACTAGAGAACATAAAGATGCAAAAGGGAAACGTGTGTCGCTCTTGCCTAACGACGAGGGAGTTAGATGGCACGAGGAAGCTAATAGTAATGACGACAATAATTTATTAAATTAGTGATGTATTAGGATAAATATTTACCACATGTTAACATTTATCATTTAAAAAAAAAAAAGAAGAAAGAAGTCATTGACTCGGTGCATACCGCCTACCAGTAAATAAATAACTTAAGAATACATATTTAAGAATGACGGATTGGATTTTAATTCTCTCCACACGTCTTTTTATACGCAATCTCTCGTGTCCATTTAATTATGCACTTTATTTAACGGTTAAAGATTGCTAATTATAGCCTTGAACCAAATATATTATTTTTTATTTATCTACATTCTAATATAAAAAGGTGTTATGATCTCAATTTCGAAAGTATTTAAGTGACAAAAATAAGTGTAAAAGTAAAACTATCGAATTAAATAAAAAAAAAGTTAAACGAGTAACACGGGAAAATACCCCAACTTCCGCCAATAGCCGTTCACCAATGTGCTGATTTTGCTTTCATTGGGGGTGTCTCTCTCTGAAAAGAAAAGGGGAAACGACGCTTAGGGGCCTGGGGAGAAAGCAAACCACACGAGAAGTCCCAAAAGTTTCGGAAAACACATTGAAAGGCCCTGAAGTTTTGGAAAATATGAAGGGCCCATGTCTTTAATAAGTTGAGTGATGAATTGTTGAGGGAAAACATTTTGCATTTACTTATTCAATTTTATAATCTGGTACCTATATTTTTTTTTATCTCTTGATTAAACCATCTAATTTTGCTTGGTTAGCATTGTGGCTAAGAGTGCTTTCAGATCCAAATTATATGGGCTAGTGATACTAAGAGAGTAAATTTAACTGATTTAATCAAAAGATAAAAAAAATATAGGTATCAAATTAAAAATTCAGAAAAAATATAAATGCCTGCAAATAATTTTTTGAATTGTTGAAGTTTAAGAATGAATCATCAAAAATTAGTCCTCAAAAACAATGCTATGTCTATGTATGTAATGAAAATTGTCGAAAATCAGCTATAAATTGTAAGGGATAAACACAGTAAACTAAAAAGATAAGTGGTAGATTTTTTATTTCATGAAATAGTTAAAAACCCTTTGGTAGAAATTACAATTAAATGGTCAATTGTATTAGTTGATAGAGTAGTTGTTTCCCTCTATATACAGTTGATATTCAACAATTCATAACTAAAACCTGGTAATAACCTATGCGTTTCATCGTTTTCCCCCTAAAATTGAGTCCTTGAGCCATTAGTCCAAGATCTCTTGATGTCATTTTCATTTTCCCCAAAAAGAGTAGGACTCATAAAGATGAGAGAGAGGGGTTGGGAGGGATGGAGTGAAGATAGAAGGGAAGGCATGTGGTTGCTTGTGAAAGCAGATAGCATCTCTCTCTCTCTCTCTCTCACATTGCTTGGCCAGCTATGAATCTCTATGCATCTTGTTTTCCTAACGTCATCCTCAAGGCTTCTTCCCCATCTCAGCCGGCTTTTCTCTTTCTTTCTTTCCTTTTCTCTTCATAACATCCAATTTTTTTAATTGCCATATGCCAATCTCAACCGCCTTTTCTTCTTCTTTCATGGATGGAACTACTCTTAACTCTTACCAGTTTGCCTCAAAAAGCTGTGCTCTCCACCATTCTTTCTCTGATCAATTATTCACTTTTAAAGCTTGAATTTCAAGATATCTAAATATCTATCTATATGCATAGAGAGAAGTTAGAACTCTTGAGTCTATAATAACAGGGCTCACACATGGGGTACTTTTCTTTTTTCAGGCGCATCAAAAAGAGAGAAGACAAAATAAGGATACCCAAGAATGACATCCATAGCATAGCTGCCAGTAGAATATAGAATATATGCTTACCCTCCATAAATATTGCCGCTCTATTATTTCTTTTTAATTTATATATAAAATTGAAATATGTATGAAGAAGCATATAACAAGCATCAGCATCATTGTGAAAGTCGTTCTATATTGAGGATGATGACCCCCAGCTGTGATCAAAGTGCTCCCATGTGATTCTGATTTCATCCTCCCATTAATGTGCTGATAGAGATATCCATCCTCAGTAAAAATTTGTTCTTTCATTGATTCTAATACTCTGAAACCAAGTCAATTTTCTATCGGGAACAATAAGGATCTAGATCATGTGATTGATGATCAATCATCAAGTCCACAAAAAATAAAATAGCCAGTGCTCTATGATAAGTTATAAACAATGCAGATCATTTCTTCCACTATATACAATACCCAAAAGCAAAATACCATGTTCAGTGCTTACATGGTGCACATGCAATTTGGTTATGGGCCTTTTGGCCCAAATTTTTGCTGCTTCAAAATGTTCTGTGACTCAAGGGCTATCCATTTTATGACCTCTTTTATGGGTTTCATGGGCTTTACTTTAGCGGGCAACGGGTGTGCGAAGTTTATGATGTTAGTTTTGTCAAACGAGATCTAGTGGCCCAAGGCAAAAGAGAAACATGTGTTTGCAACTTTAATTTAAAAACAAATATGTAGGTGAAAACGAAATTATGGATTTAAAAACAATTTTATAGCATCTGAAATAAATATGTAAAAAAATTTACCTCAACTTGTGAAAAAATGCTTTTTAAAAACAATTATGATTTTCCAAACACCCCTAAAGTTATCATATTAGCATTGAAAAATGAAAAATCATGGGAGGAGACAAAGCTGCAATTGACAAATGAATTCTTGATGGAAGTTACTAGAAAAGCTTAGAATGGTCACCAAATAATATTACAGGGTGAATATCATCTGTTTTAAACCATTTTGACCTTTTAACAAGCTCAGGAAATATAATCGTTTTCGCGTCTCTTTTTACTTCTTCGGTTCCGAGCTGACTATTGTAACTTACAAACAATGCCTACCTCTTAACATTACACTAAATAATCAAATACAAAATCACTAAAAAACTCAACATGAAGCACCATCGTACAAACATCCCCTTAAATTAGCACAATGTCATGCATAGACTTGCTTGACCTGTTGGAGTTTTTCTTAATTTGGGTGGAAGGAAGAGGATTAGAAAGGTGTTTTTTTTTTTTTGGCCACTAGAAAAGAGTGTTTATTATTGTCAATTGTGTAAGAGATGCCAGGGAAATAAGGGGGGAGAGAGAGAGTTCGTAAATCAAGGTAATAACATATGCTTAATTTGGAAGATCAATAATATCGATAATTTGCTGTCAAGCCAGAAAGTCAAGAAGAAACTGAAGAATGGATGAGGCAAAAAAATTATTTCTACAGCTAACCATGGGCCAACTCAAATTCAAAGACATTAATCTTTTTAAACGAAACATTGACCTTAGCATAATCATATGCCAAATAAAGATCTTGCATAGTATTCAACTTCCTGTTCCCTTTAGGTAGCCAACTAAGACTAGCTCTGGTGGAGCAAATTGCAGCAGAAAACAATACACTTGAATTACATTGGAGGTCTACCGGAACCAAGCAGCTGGCCAATTAGGTTAGTCACCTAGCAACACGGGGGGAAAAACGTATTACAGTTTGACATTTCCAACGACACTGTTTTCATAAGCCGGAATATGAAAAAATTGAAATCGATGCAATGCTTCCATGGGAAATTCCATACAATATGATTTCAAAAGTGCAGATGATACTCAAAATTTATGCCGTCAAATTTTCAAGGAACCTCAAATTGAAGATACTTCATGGGAAGCAAGCATTTACACAGATGTCAAGCAAATTGAATGAATGAATAAAATGAAACAAGAAAAGAAGAAGGCACAAATAACTAATAGGCAAACAGATAAAAAGCATGTATTATCAAAAAGAAAAAATAGAATGTGCATTAGCAATAATTCAAAATAAAAAATAAACAGCCAACATCTTACATGCCAGTATTTTGAAACACAGCGATCAATGCAACTATTTTCACCCATATTTAGCTCAGACTCCTTGTACCTAAGATAAAGAGGTAAACAAATGTCAGTATTTACATTCAACCTTTATACAAATAATCCAGCATCCAGCAGCAGATAACTCCTAAATAAAGTTAGAAAGAGAACAATTTTCCCCCAGAATAATTAGATGCCTTCAAAGAACAAGAAAGTGATCTTTCATCAATGAGTTCGTACAATTTAAGCAAGGATTATAAAAAGAAAATTTCATACCTTTTGTCAACACATTTATTGAAACAGGTGTGAGTCAGCCTGAAAAGGAAAAACAAGGGTTTAACCGTTGTATATATGATAATGCCATATGAAAACAATTAAAGCGTGCGAAGTTTTCCAAAATTAAATCACCTAGGAGACATCTGCAATCATTCATAGGACCCACTTCGCACTAGGTAAACACTCAGCCGATACTAAGGAACTATACAAGTACTGTGGCATAATGATCCACAGAGAGAGCAGGGAGGGCATAATAGCACATAGCATCATGAGTAGATTTTGTATTCATTTTTTCCTTCTTTAGAATATAATTCCATCCACTAAGTTCACATGAGCAGCAGAAAACTCAATGGTGAGAAAGGAGTTAGCTTATATGATAAGGATATCTAAAGAAAATTTTGTCTAATTATGTCCTGACTCCCCACGGCAACGGCATAACAATTTGAATCATCTAAGAAATAACAACTGCGAGGGAAGCATTTGGAACACTGAATTTTGAAGTGCCAGAAACTTACTTATTGAATAACTCAACCCTATATTCCATCTCCTTTTCAGCCATTCCAAATATCTGCACCATTAACACAAGAATTAGTCAAGATAGGCAAATAAGATAAACCAAATCAGACAAATTCATAATTGAAACCTGGCATGTTAATTCAAATAAATGATAGCAAGTTTGGGGAGTTGTAGGATAGTTAAAGGGGGTAGGTTACTAACGACGGAGGCTATAAATAAATACTCTCGGGTAGTTTGTAATTATGCTTTTGGATAATGAGGACTTGAGTTCTACTCTACGCTCTCTCTCTCTCTTCCCCGTTCATCTTCTTTCTCCGTAACAAAGCCACATTGAGATGCATCACACTGATAAATGAACAGAAACTTGAAGATTCGTAACAATAAAATAGAAAGGTAGAGAGTACACAATATCAATCGCCACATCAATTTCCAAGTTACATTCCCAGGAAAGCAGAGTCTCACCAGAAAATAAAAATTGATGAGCAGATGACACATACGAAAACTAGGAACAATAATAAGCCAAGGAATGCCTTTCTAAACACATAATAATAAAAGCAGGAATTCCTTCCGCAACTGCCAACATGCAAGTAATCATTGGAATACCTGCCTGTTCTTTATCCAAACCCGAGGGCGCATTGTTACTGGCGGCCATGGAAATCAAAAAAATTTACACCAAGAGAAACACGCGCTCAAATTGCGAAAAAAAAGCGTAGGAATGCGAATTCAAGAAGGGAATCTATTCGTTTGTAGGTTTGCCAAATTAGCCGGATGGGCTCGTGCAGAAGGGCAGGCGTATACAAATCCCGTCGCGCTGTACTCGCCAGGCGCCACTAGGGTTTAGGAGAAAACCCTGCAGTGTTAATCAACTATTTGGTTTATTTCACCCTTTATGCCCTTGGAATTCTGAAAAGGCAAAATGGGATGTTTGGTTGACTCTCTCAATTTAATGAAAATATTGGTTTTTGGATAAAATTTTAGAAAATCACAGTTTTAGACTCAAAAATTTATTTTTTTAGACATCCGAACGCATCCAAAAATGGATGAGATTTATAATTTATAATGAAAATTATTATTAATTCAAAAACTTTAATTAAAATACTATCTCTGGTCCTAAATAGGATTGGAGTACTATTCTGTCCTTTATTATAAGATTTTTTTAACTAAATTGTGTTGTATAAGAAAATAGTTTAAATTAGTTAAAAGCAATTAATATGTAGCAAATGTAATTTTTTTTCAAATGTACCCTATATATAAATAGGTAGATGTAAGAAAGTAATAATAAGATAAATGAAGAACGAGAATGTATTGAATTTATTAAACTAAGGGTAAAATAGGTAATAATATATGAAATGTTCAAACAAACTCAAAAAGAATCTTATAAAAAGGAATAAACCTATTCAAAAAATTAGATCTCATAATAAGGGACGAAATGAGTATATAACTAACAACTAGGTGGGAGAATATTAGTTAGGCTTAAGGTTAAATTTGAAAGTCTTTTTTATGTTTTAAGAATTAAATTTTACTGTACATCGTTAGATCACATGTTTAAACTTTAAAAAGTAAAATTAAAACATTTAAAAGTACTGAGTAACACAAATCCAAATTTTAAAATATGAACACATTTTTAAAATCTAAATTTTAATCTCAAAATTGGTATCAACAAAATTTGTTTATTCGGTGGGAATTTTAATAATCAGAGTCTTTATGTGGTATTTATAGTAATTTTCGCTACTATTGTTGTAATGTTAGCATCATTTTTGTTTGACTTGAGAAGGCCCAGTGACCAAGACTGCCCCAAAATTTCTGAATGACCAAGATTCTTTTCACGCCAACCCAAGGTTTTTCAGCGGTCCAGCCTCCAGCCCATCTTTGAAGAAACACAAAGCCTCAGGCTGAAAAAAATGGAGGAGGAGCCAAAAGGTTAGAGATGAAAAGGCAAAGATAGAACCAACAGGATTAGATTCCGCAGGGCACAAAGAAGGGTTGAAGATCTTGGTCCTTAATGGTGGTGGGTATCCTATAGGAAAAACCTTTAATGTTGTCTACAAGAAATTTTTTTTAATAATCTATAAATTGGAAAACTTATTGTGTTAAACCAAACTTCGTGTTTTTTGTCCATTTTTAAGTTTTTCATTTGCCTCAAATATACCCCGTGCATTGCACGGGCACTGAACTAGTTATCATAAAGTGGCAAATTAATATTTGAATCCTCACTAAAAAAAAATACTCACATTTAATGCCTGTGGAGCAGACAAAATATCTACACTTGGGGGGAGGAAAAGAAAAGAAAACCCATGGATGGATCAGCTACATTAATTCCGTAGTACCAGAGTTCATTAGAACATAACAAATTAAATCACAAGCTTAACATATCGAAGTAAATGAAGGAATAACGGGCCATGACCAATAAAAGGGAAGACACAATCAATTTGATCCAGTAAAAAGAAAGATAGCTCGTTCTCTTAGAACAGGATTGAAGGAATTTTTTTTTTTCTTTTTTCATTTTTTGGCTTAAAGGGTGCTTCTATTACCAATCCAGTAGCGGGGAGAAAAAAAGCAGTGAAGTCGAAAACAGAAGCATAAATAATCAATCAGCAAAGTCATTTTGCCATTTTGGGTTTTTTCAGGTGTTTGGATATTTTTATTCCAAAGATATTGATACTAGTTTGTTTGTCTCATATTTTGTACACTATGATTAAAAAATTAAGTTAATAAAATTCTACTATCATTCCAAACAATTACTTGAAAGATGTGTGCCCTGAGATGTGATGCTAACTAATGTGGCAGCATGTTAGGAGCAATTTTGATAAGTCTATCCATGATTTTATGCCAAATAGTTCATTAACCAAGTACAATATTTGCTTTCATGTTTCACTTCTTTTTTAAGCACAGGTATTCTCTTATTGAAGGTAATATTGTTTAAGACATTATTGAACACTAAATATGAATACTTCCTCTAACAAACATTCAAATAGTAATCTGTCACATTATGAAAGATTACCTCTTTTTATTAAACTTAGCAGTAGTTGGTTGACATTTCATATTAAAATGTCATGTTTAGATACCATCTGAGTCATGAATATAAGAGTTAGTTCACTAATTTGGGTAGATTAAGAAATTTCGTTAAGTTAGTTATTTGTAATAAACAGGTGTTGTCTTTCTTAAAATATCCTTTCTAATAATTTGTATTAACTAGAACTACCATTTGATGAAATAAATATGAGAGACAGAGTGGATTGAGGTCTTATATATATGACTAAATTAAAAGTCAAACTAACTCTCATATTAAGCTCTGGAGGTAGTATCATATTTGCATATTTTGCTCAAAAGTTGAGACACAATTTTTCTTTTGAAGGAGGAGGAATTAATAACAGATGCTGCAAAGTTAGCGAAGCACTTCGGCCGGGAAGAAAAATAATTGGAAATAATAAATCTCATCCTTGGATAAAACGATTTCTGTGATGATTAAAAATATTAATTCTGTACTCTTCAATTTACATATAAGTCACAAGCACGGGGTTCACTCGTACTGGAGTAAGATTAATTTGCAAGGTTTTCAAGTGCACATTATTTCACATTATTAATACCCCTTCTCCTGCATTTTATATTCAGCATATAGACTTGGAAACAAACTTAAAATCTCTTGCAAAACAAGTTGGGAATCTATTACTTGCTGCTTAGCTAGTTGATGAGAGTGTAACATAATAACATATATATCATTGTAAGATTAATGTGTATGAGACACAACACAAGTAACTTATAAACAACGCCTACCACTTTGCATTATACTAGCTAGCTAGCTACATCATCAAACACAAAATCATTAGCCAATTCAATGCAAGACTCCATCATACAACCCATGCTCTACAACTTCACCAATTTTGTTTTAAAAAAATATAATGTTCTGGGTAGCCCAAAATTTTACCCTAAATTAATTAAACTGTCTACAAAATTAATTACACATAACAACTGAGTATATATCATTTTTTAACTGCTCGCACTGTTCTTAAATTATAATTTAATCACAAGATTAATAACAACATAATTTTTTCAAAAAAAATTTACCCATTGGCTGGCAGAATCCAAAAATTAATTAGCATCATTATTTTAAAATCGCATAACTTTCCATGTTTTATTTTGTGCATCTCTGTCTTTATTTTCGGGGGAGGGGGAACTTTTCTTTGAATATTTCTCTCAAACTTATGTTGTTTTATAAATATATATTTTGAAGTAAAACCATATGAATTTTGATTTTTTTGGCCAACGTATAAACTTTGATTTTAATTAACACGTATATAACATTTCGCTCTCTTTTATAATTGTTCATGAGATGAGATGAAGTATATACATCATACTCAGTTAAGCCGGCAGTTGGTTTGATTTCAACCCCCCCCCCCCCAAAAAAAGAAAAAAGAAAAAAGGTATAATTAAAGTGAGGGGGTCAAAAAGGGGACTCTTTGAATGATTAAATCGAAGCTTGTGTTCAAAAAGAAAGAAAAGTTGAGCTCAAGCTGCATGAGAAGTGGGGGGAAAAAACAAGAAGACCTTCAATATAAGTTTGCACAAAATGTTTGGAGGATCAGCCATTAATTGGCTGTTTTTTTTTTTAAAAAAAAAAAAGTTAATGTCCAGTCTGCCATAAAAGATCTAATCATTGATAAGTTTTACACAGGTTGTAATGCAAAAAATAACAATAGATTCGTATTGGAACTTTTTAAGGATTAGATTGCTTAGGTAAAATAGTACTATGATTATTTTTTCCTTAATAAAAATACTCAATGCTCCGAATGTTCATAATTTCAAATTTTGTGCATATAAAAAATTATACTAATAAGTTGAAAGAATTATATATATGTATGTGTGTGTATGAAAAGTTGGGACCCCATGAATCTTGTTGCTTGCATGGCGGGGAAGCTTGAGACCTTTTTTTGGTAGGGATTGCGTAAAGCTCAATATTAGATCTTCGATTCGAGTGTTTCTGATATGAAAGAGAAAGCATGCCATGCTCAAGGGTCCTCATGGTCCCTGTAAAGACCAGGCCAGTTTTCAATCTCCATTTCCTCCTCAATATTGTTCCAATCTTTATCCTCTGTCCCTCTCTTTCTCTCTTATTTTAATTTATTTCATTAATTAGTGCCCTTTTATTTTATATGAGTTATACTTGGAGAAAAAAACACAAAAGTGTCGTTGTTTAAAGTTGAAGAAGTTACTCAGAGGTTAGAATCAACTAAGATTCATGCTGCAATATATGTTCTCTTGAGGCTAGATTTGGTGATCGCTTTTCCCTTAGAAATGGCAAAGAATAAGTTTTATTTATTTTTTAATCCTTTCCGACTTTTGAATCCGTTTAATAATGTTGCCCAACTGAATTACCTACCGCCCCATTTGATTGGTACCTTTATTACAAGACGTGAAAGCAGGAGAGAGGGAAACGTAATGGAAGCATGAGAGGGAAATGTAAAGAGAAAATGGGGGAAGAATTCTCATTTATTTAGAAATGTACAAAATATGTAGTTAATAACTTTTAATTTATAGACCTCCAAACAACTAATGAGAGTTCCATGACATCATGAACAGAATTTTACATAATTGCATAATGTATAACCAAAAATGTGTATTAATCATTTAAATTAACTCTAAAAGAACAATTGGTTTTGAAAATCACGGGATTTTATGTATAGAATTTGAAAGATAATTTCTTCTGAATGTTAGGAATATTCATATTTTCAATATGTTTTATTGGAATAAAAAAAAACCTTAAAACTCATTAATTATGTGTTTTTGTCTACTCTTATTAAATATATACTCAATATTTTATTGTTTGTCACATATTTTATTGAAGCTTTTAATTG